CCTGGGATTCCGGGATGGAGTCCTGCATTGGGCTTCCTGTGTGGGACCTGCTTATCTCTCTGCCTGTGTCTCTGCCTCTCTCTCTCTCTCTCTCTCTCTCTCTGTCTCTCATGAATGGATAAATAAAATCTTAAAAAAAAAAAAGAATTACATAATCTAAGTAAAGTGTCATCTCTCTCATTCAGGTAGACACATTCTACCCTCAGGGATTTCCCTAGGCGTTAGTGAAGATGCCCTCTCTCAAATCAGCAATGTCCTTTCTCCAAACAGGCCGCCAATGGAAAACATTGCATTAGTAGTCCTTAAAGTCATCAAACTAAGAAAAGAACAGTGCCTGAGTCATTTAAACTTGCCCATTGGGTGGCGTGATCATCACTCAACAGAAGACAGTTCAGAATCTTAGTAATTTTGGGGATGGCTGGGTGGCTCAGTGGTTGAGCGTCTGCCTTTGGCTCAGGTCATGATCCCGGGGTCTCAGGATGGAGTACCGCATCAGGCTCCCTACACGGAGCCTGCTTCTCCCTCTGCCTATGTCTCTGCCTCTCTCTGTGTCTCTCTCATGAATAAATAAAATCTATAAATCATCATCATCATCATCTTAATAATTTAAAAACATTTTTTAATTTTTTAATTTATTTTGAGAGAGTGGGGAATGGGGAAGGTAGGGGGCAAAAGGAGAGAAGCAGACTTCCTGCTGAGCATAGAGCTGATGGAGGGGCTGCATCCCACAACCTGAGATCAGGACCTGGGCTGAAATCAAAAGCCATGCACTCAACGAACTGAGCCATCCAAGCCCCCACCATGGTTCAGAATCTTTAGATGCTACTATCTTCTGGGGAAGGAAGGGCCAAGTCCATTACCTTTCTATGCAGGCACCCTTTTATAAGGAAGTGATGGTTACATTTTGCTACTGCCCTGAATCCATTTCTGAGCTCCAAAAGAATTAGGTATAGCGATGCCTAGGACTAAAAGGACTGTAAATACTGACCCTGGTGTGGACAGATGGCTTTCTGTAAAAGATTAGGTAAAGTCCTGGCCAAAGGCAAGGGCTAGATGATTTTGAGGCCATGAGTTCTTTGAGAACTGGAATCATGTGTTACCTATCATTGTATCCCCTTGTGCTCAGCAGTGTCTGTATCAGCCCAATTAATGTTTGCAGAATAAATGACCCTTTCCAGCTGAACTCTCAGACCTTGGGATTCATACCCAAAGGGTCTTGTTTTATCAGAAGATTTTGGCAGCATGTACTGGGCAATTATTTGTTTTAAAAAAATCTTATGTAAAATCAGTTTAATTGTCTCCCTTTGAAATTCTACTGATGATGGTTGCTCAGTCTGTGAAGCCTCTGCCTCTTGATTTCCACTCAGGTCATGATCTCAGGGTTGTGAGATCTAGCCCCTCACAGGGCTCCATGCTGGGCTCAGAGCCTGCTTAAGATTCTCTCTCTCCCTCTTCCTCTGCCCTTCCCTGCCCCCTGTACAGGTGCTCCCTTTCTCTCAATACATACATACATAATACATAATTGTACCCATGACCAAAATTCATATCTCTCAAAGACAGAAAAATGACAGGAAGAATTATTATTTGATTATTATGATTTCATCTTGTAGAATCTTGAAGCAAATGTGACATTAAAGCATTTCCTTTCCCTCTCTTCCTAGGTCCTCTAAACTGTAGTCCTTTTTTCTTTTTTAAGATTTTATTTATCAGAGAGAGAGAGAATGAGCGTGTGCACAAATGAGGGGAGGAGCAAAGGGAGGAGAAAGAGAGAGAGAAGCCCAAATAGACTCCCCACTAAGTGCGTGTAACCCAGCATAGGGCTCAACCTGGGGCACAATCCCACCACCCTGAGATCACAAGCTGACACAAAATCAAGAGTTGGCCATCGGGGTGCCTGGGTAGCTCAGTGGCTGAGCGTCTGCCTTTGGCTCAGGCCATGATCCCAGGGTCCTTGGATCAAGTCCTGAATTGGGCTCCCCACATGGACCCTACTTCTCCCTCTGCCTGTGTCTCTGCCTTTGTCTCTGTGTCTCTCATGAATAAATAAATAAAATCTTTAAAAAAAAGAGTTGGCCGGGATCCCTGGGTGGCTCAGCAGTTTAGCACCTGCCTTTGGCCCAGGGCATGATCCTGAGGTCCCGGGATCAAGTCCCACATCGGGCTCCTGCATGGGGCCTGCTTCTCCCTCTGCCTGTGTCCCTGCTTCTCTCTCTCTCTCTCTCTCTCTCTCTCTCTGTCTCTCATGAATAAATAAATAAAATCTTAAAAAAAAAAAAAAGAGTTGGAAGCCCAACCAGCTGAGCCACCCAGGTGCTCCTTCCCAGGACTTTATTTTTTATTTTTTAAAAAAATATTCATTCATTCATTCATTCATTCATCCATTCATTTATTCGAGACATAGAGAAAGGCAGAGACATAGGCAGAGGGAGAAGTAGGCTCCCTGAGGGGAGCCTAATGCAGGACTCAGTCCCAGGACCCTGGGATCACAACCTGAGCCAAAGGCAGACAGACGCTCAACTACTGACCCACCCAGGTGCCCCTTCCCAGGACTTTAGACTCATATATCCAAATGCAGTAGTCCAGGTTATGGGTGCAGGGGCAGTGGAGATGTAGGAATAAGGACAGATTCCAAAGATATTTAGCAGATAGAATGACTTTTAGTGTCCATTTAGATATGGAGGGTGAAGAAGAGGGGCTTTCCTCAGGTTGCTGGCTAGGGTCAATCAAGCAGATGCTGACACTGCCAATTAAGATAAGAACAACAGGAGGAAGATGATTTTGTTCAGAGATGATGAGCTTGGTTTTGGAACAGCCAAGTTTGAGATGCCTGGGAGAGCTGCAGGTGGAGCTATTTAATAGGCAGCTGGATATATCAGCCTGGAAGCTCAAGAACAGGCTGAAAATCTAAATCTAGGACTTGGAAGATGAGAAAGGGGCACTGAAAGCTTGGGCCTGGGGGTACCTGGGTGGCTCAGTGGTTGAGCGTCTGCCTTTGGTTCAGGTCATGATCCCGGGGTCCTGGGATCCGAGTCCCGAATCGGGCTCCCTGAAAGGAACCTGCTTCTCCCTCTGCCTATGTCTCTGCCTCTCCCTCTCAGTCTGTGGCTCTCATGAATAAATAAATAAATAAATCTTAAAAAAGGGGGGGGGTAGAACCCAAAGAAACCCAGGTCTATTGGGTGGGCTGATAAAAAGTAGCCAATGAAAGCAAGCGGAGGAAGAAGGCTCCGTGACCAAAGCGGGCAGGAGGGAAGCCAAAGGAAAAAGCCTTTGAAACAGAAGAGCTGTAAAAAATGTCCAACATAGCCGAGAGCAAAAGGACTGCAGAGTGTCCCTGGTAGTCCTAGGGAAGTCACAGGCGATCCCTGCAAGAGCAGTAGTGAGGGGCAAAGGTGAAGTGTGAGGTCAGATTGTATTGGGTCAAGGAGGAAATGAAAAGGACAAGGAGAAGCAAGTGGAGGCCACTCTCCAGAGGGGCTTGGTTGAAAAGGGAAAGAGAAAGACTTTAGCGGAGCCCAGCTGGTGAAGAGGTGTTTTTTGTCCTGGTGGTTGTTTTTTAAGCTACTTTTTGATTATTAGAAAAATAATGTATGGGGGCGCCTTGGGTGGCTCAGTCAGTTAAGCATCTGCCTTCAGCTCAGATCATGAACCTGGGGTCCTGGAATCAAGCCCTACGTTGGTCTCCCTGCTCAGTAGGGAGTCTGCTTCTCCCTCTCCCCACTGCTTGTGCTCTCTCTCTCTCAAATAAATAAAATCTTTAAAAATAAATAAGTAAAAGTAATGTATGTAAGGTGAAAATTTTCAAGTAGTATGGAACAATATAAAATTAAAAATCTGAATGTCCCTTCCCTCCCTCAAAAGGTAATCACTGTTAAGTTTGTTGTCTAATATTTCAGAATATACAGAAGCACAGATATATGTACATATTATATATAATGTATATATCTTTACATATGGATACACACACATTTCTTTACTCAATGTGATAACATACAAGCTAATATGCCTGATCCCTTCATCTTATTCACTTAGCAATATATCCTGGAAACCTTTCTGTATCTTTCTGACCTTATCACCTGCCTTTCTCTCTGTAACTCACTGTCCTTCCACTGCAATGACCTCCTTGCAGTTCCTGGAACACACCGGGGCACACTCACACCTTAAGGCTTTTGCACTTGCTGTTCCCTCTGCCTGGAATGTTCTTCCCCCAGATATCCTCTTGGCTCACTCTCTCACTTCCTTCAGATTTCTACTTCTGTGTCACCTCCTCAGAGAGGCAACCAGGTACCATTCATGAAACCCTACCCTACTTCATTTTTCTTCATGGCACTTATTGTCTGCTTTGATTTTTAGTTATGTAATTTTATTTTATTTTTTAAGGTTTTATTTTTTTATTCATGAGAGATACAGAGAGAGAGGCAGAGACATAGGCAGATAGAGAAGCAGGCTCCCTGTAGGGAGCCTGATGAGAGGATCGGTCCCAAGACCCTGGGATCACACCCTGAGCCAAAGGCAGATAGATGCTCAACCATTAAGCTACCCAGGCGCCCCTGTTTTTTTGTTTGTTTGTTTGTTTTTAAGTAGGCGCCATGCCCAACTTGGGCCTTGAACTCATGACTCTGAGATTGAGAGTCATGTGCTCCACCGACTGAGCCAGGTAGGCACCCCAAGGTGCATTGTCTATCATGCATCAGCTGATTTGTTCAGGGTCAGTCTCCCCCTCAAGGATATGAGCTCCAGGAAGAGAGGGACGTTATCCACCTTACTACTCTACATCCTGACCCTTAGTAGGTACTCAATAAAACACGGAAAAAATAGAGAGGTAGCATAGTATAGAATGATGGATAACAACATAGTGGTTAAGAGGGCTGCTTGAGACTTGGGTGACTCAGTGGTTGAGCATCTGCCTTTGGCTCAGGTCATGATCCCAGGGTCCTGGGATCAAGTCCCGCATGAAGCTTCCTACAGGGAGCCTGCTTATCCCTCTGTCTGTGTCTCTGCCTCTGTGTGTGTGTGTGTGTGTCTCATGAATAAATAAAGAAAATCTTTTATTTTTTATTTTTAATTTTTTTAAATAAAATCTTTTAAAAAGGGGGGCTGCTTGGGTTCTAATCTTTATTTTTTAGTAGATGTGTGCACTTGGGTAGGTGAATTTCACAGAGTTTTCTGTGTAAGGTAGGGCCATACGGTGCCTCACTCCCCGGGTTTAATGTATGAATATATGAAACAGGCTCAGAACAGTAGGTGACACTAGCGACTTATGAGGAATGATCCTTGCTTGACTATTAGTAGTATTCCATACAGGCTCTAGTAGCGATGACGTCAGTGGCTCACTCTTCCAGCTCTTCCGCACGTCGTTGATTATTACTGTTCCTTCTTGGCCTCATTTCTCTGACCTTCACCCCTTAAACACCGGTGTCTCCTGAGCATTTTTCATTTCTTACATTCTCTTTGAGTGAACTCATGGTTTTAACTACTAACCAGGCTGAAGACTGCCCCAAACCGCACTGTTCCCCGGGGCCTCAGACTCTTGGATCCAACTGCTTTGAGCATTTCCATTCTAATTACTTGTTAGGTGATATGACTCACTGAAGTGTGGGTTCCTCAAGGGCAGGGATAATTTTCTTGGTTATCTTTCCGCTTTTCCAGAGGAGGTGCTCTCAAAAGGCATACTTTGTAGGTGTTCACAGCCTAGTGAAGGGAAACAGACAATAAATAAATTACTAGAATAGGTCTGTTGGTGACAAGTGCCATTGAGCAGGACAAAGAGAAGATAGAGCTGGGAGAGACCGAGGTGTGATCATTTATAAAGATGGCCAGGGAAGCCCTTTGGATATATTTTTTAAAGATTTTATTTATTTATTCATGAGAGACACAGAGAGAGGCAGAGACATAGGCAGAAGGAGAAGCAGGCTCCCCGTTGAGCTGGGAGCCTAATGTGGGACTTGATCCCAGGACCCCGGGATCAAGACCTGAGCCAAAGGGAGATGTTCAACCACTGAGCCACCCAAGGGCCCCAAGACCTTTGGATATTTGAACAGAGTGCTGAAGAACTGATGATGTCTGAGGAAAGAGTGGTTAGATACCAATCTCAAGTGTTAACAGCCTGTGGTGGGGAGTGTTCAGGGAGCAATGAGGGGGCCAGTGTGGCTGATATAAAGGTGGCTGAAGGGTATGGGAGTTGGACATGAGGGGAGCAAAGGAAAGGGGGGGATTTTCAGATTATACAGGGACTTGAAATGAGATGACGGATCATTGGAGGGGTTTCTAAAGAGAAGATTGACAAAATATGACTCAGAATTTGGAAGAATGGCTCTGACTGTGGTAGAAGAATACACAAGAGGGAGGGGCACCTGGCTGGCTCAGTCCATGGGGCATGTGACTCTTGTTGGGGTTGTGAGTTCAAACCCGATATTGGGTGTTGAAGTTACTTACAAAGAAAATCTTAAAAAAAAAAAAAAAAAAAAAAAAAGAATAGACAAGAGGGAAGCAAGGGTTGAAGCAGGGAAATCTGTTGGAAGTTATTTCAGTGGCCCAGGTGACAAGATGATAGGATCTTGGCCTTGATTGGTAGTGTGGGCATGATGAGAAATGGTCAGATTCAGGATATATTATGGAGATCGAGTGAGAATTTGCTGATGTATTAAGTGTAGGGCTTGAGGGACCCCTGGGTGGCTCAGTGGTTGAGCATCTGCCTTTGGCTCAGGGTGTGATCCTGGAGTCCTGGGATCGAGTCCCACATCAGGCTCCCTGCATAGAGCCTGCTTCTCCCTCTGCCTGTGTCTCTGCCTCTCTGTGTGTCTCTCATGAAAAAATAAATAAAATATTCTAAAAAATAGTGTAGGGGGGATCCCTGGGTGGCTCAGCAGTTTGGTGTCTGCCTTCAGCTCAGGGCATGATCCTGGAGACCCGGAATCGAGTCCCACGTCGGGCTTCCGGCATGGAGCCTGTTTCTCCTCTGTCTGTGTCTCTGCCTCTTTCTCTCTATCTGTGTCTCTCATGAATAAATAAATAAAATATTAAAAAATAAATAAATATAAATAAAAATAGTGTAGGGCTTGAGAGAAAGAGGAAGTGAGGATGGATGGATAAGTAAATGAATAAGTGAATTGGATGGATATATATATATATATATATATGTATATATATATATATATGGAGATACACACACATACACACATACACATTCATTATAGAGTGACGGATTACAAGGGCTGTCTATGTCAGAAAATAAATAAATGAGGGACGCGTGGGTGGCTCAGTGGTTGAGCATCTGTCTTTGGCTCAGGGCGTGATCCCGTGGTCCTGGGATTGAGTCCTGCATCAGGCTCCCCTCAGGGAGCCTGCCTCTCCCTCTGCCTATGTCTCTACCTCTGTCTCTGTGTTTCTCATAATAAATAAAATCTTAAAAAAAATAAATGAGAAAAAAAAATAAATGAGAAAAATTATTTAATGACAGCGCAGCCAAGATTCTGAAAAGAATATCTATACTCACAGCCTCCAGTTCTGTACCATCTTCCCTAGGTGCTTCAAACCACTGTCATCTGCCTTCCACCCTCATTGAAACTGCTGACACAAACAACCCCAGTGACTTTCAGTTTGCTAAAACAAATGGAGATCTTTTTGTTATGTAGTTCTTGGTCTTTTTGCAGTATTGTTGAACTTCTGGAAGTTCTCCCGCCTTGGTACCTGACCCCCCACTCCTTCCTTCCTGCCTTCCCCCCACTTCTCTAGACTTTCTATCTCAAACCCCTGCACTGGCTTCTTTTCACATATCCATCTTCAGTGTGGGTGTTTCTCAGAGTTATCTTGTTTTCTTTTTTTTAAGTTTTTATTTTAATTTTTTTATTTGACAGAAAGAGCAAGTGAGCAAGCACAAATGGGGGAGGGGCAGAGGGAGAAGCAAGCTCCCCACTGAACAGGGAGCCCTATACAGGACTCAATCCTGGGACTCAGGGATCATGACCTGAGCCAAGGGCAGACACTTAACCAACTGAGCCACCCAGGCGGCCCTCTCAGTTATGTTCTTAGCCTTCTTTTCTTTTCAGTATTTCATTCATTTATTTAAATACTTACTGAATCCACCTGAAACTATGTCACATTGTGTGTCAACTATACTTAAAAACAAACAAATTATTGCTTGCTTATTAAATTCCAGGTACAGGGCAGCCTGGGTGGCTCAGCGGTTTGGCACTGCCTTTGGCCCAGGGCATGATCCTGGAGACCCGGGTTCAAATCCCACACCAGGCTCCCCGCATGGAGCCTGCTTTTCCCTCTGCCTGTGTCTCTGCCATTCTCTGTTTCTCTCTGTGTGTCTGTCATTAATAAATAAATAAAATCTTTATAATTAAAAAAAATAAATTCCAGGTACAGTTCTGGGTGCTTGGGAAATAGTAATAAACAATGGAAAAATGCTTGCTTTTCCCCATGGAGCTCACCCACTCTTCCCAAGCAACCTCAGCTCATACTCAAGTCCCCAGACACCCAGACATGTCTGTGACTTCCAAATTTACATCTCCAGCACTACTCACTTTTAGTTTTTATTTATTTATTTATTTTTAAGTTTTTATTTAAATTCCACTTAACATACAGTGTAATGTTAGTTTAATTTTTTAATTTTAGATACATTTTCACTACTGTGTCCTTAAACTGAATTCCTCTTTACATTGAAGTCTGCTTCTCTCTGTATCACCCTTTCTTTTTTTTTCAAGATTTTATTTATTTATGCCTGAAAGACACGCAGAGAGAGAGGCAGACACATAGGCAGAGGGAGAAGCAGGCTTCCTGTGGGGAGTCCGATGTGTGACTTGATCCCAGGGTCCTGGGAAGGCAGACACCCTGAGCTGAAGGCAGACACTCAACCACTGAGCCACCCAAGTACCCCTGTATCACCTCTTCTAATGGCACCACCATGCATTAACAATTGCTCATTTTTCTTCAGGATTCCTGCAATAGTTCCCAATCTAATCATCCTGTGCTACAAAGGCTGAACTTCCTAACCTGAAAATTAAAACATATTTTAACAAATACTTAAAATATTTTAATAATTCCCTATCATCTTCAAGATCCTTCATTATTTGGTCCAAATTTCTCTCATGTCTTACCTCCAAACACACCTCCGATTCCTTGTGTCCTTGCCTTACTGAGCTTGAATTTTTTTTGTATAGCCGTATTTTGGTGTATGTTATTCCCTGGATTCATTCATTCATTCATTCATTCATTCATGAGAGACACACAGAGAGAGAGGCAGAGACACAGGCAGAGGGAGAAGCAAGCTCCATGCAAGGAGCCCGATGTGCTATTCGATCCCTGATCCCCGGACTCCAAGACCACGCCCTGGGCCAAAGGCAGGCACTAAACCGCTGAGCCACTCAGATGTCCCTGTTATTCCCTGTTTAAAACCTCCTTCTTGGGCAGCCTCAGTGGCACAGCGGTTTAGTCCCACCTGCAGCCTGGGGTATGATCCTGGAGACCTGGGATCGAGTCCCACGTCCGGCTCCCTGCATGGAGCCTGCTTCTCCCTCTGCCTGGGCCTCTGCCTCTCTCTCTCTCTCTGTGTCTCTATGAATAAATAAATAAAATCTTAAAAAAAAATAAAACGTCCTTCTTGGGACGCCTGGGTGGCTCAGTGGTTGAGCATCTGCCTTTGGCTCAAGCCTGATCCTGGGATCTGGGAGGGTGTCTCTTATGAATAAATAAAATCTTTTTTAAAAAATGGGGAATGGATGGGGAGAGATCTCTGAGGAGTAGAAAGAAAGAGAATCAAGAGCAAATATAAAAAGATAGTCGGTGGGCAGCCCTGGTGGCTCAGCGGTTTAGCGCCACCTCCAGCCCAGGGTGTGATCCTGGAGACCCCGGATTGAGTCCCATGTCGGGCTCCCTGCATGGAGCCTGCTTCTCCCTCTGCCTGTGTCCCTGCCCCCCCCCTCTTGCTCATGAATAAATAAATAAAATCTTAAAAAAAAAAAAGATAGAAAGAATGTCCTAAATGTTTCCTTCTAGGACAAGAGAAAGGAAGGAAGTGGACAGTTAGAAGCAGATCAGTTTGAGGTGAAGAATAAGAAATTGAAGGTGTCCATGCTGGACAGTTTCTACTTTCTCCTTGACGTAGTAGCTAAGATATAGTTCTTTTCTGGAAGGCTTGCGTGTGTGTGAAGCTTCGTGACAGGTTTTTTGAATCTCACCTTTCATACCTGCAAAACACTTGATTCTATTCGCTGTTCTGTAAACATTATCTCTTGCAAAGTTGTAAGAACCAAGGAGATCATGTAGGATAGGGCTTTGCTCTGTAGATAAGTAGCAATGGACCTGATGATTATTACTTAAATATGAGTTGAAATCCATGCAGGTGAAACCTGCTAAATTCCAAAGCCCCGGGATCCCTGGGTGGCGCAGTGGTTTGGCGCCTGCCTTTGGCCCAGGGCACGATCCTGGCGACCCGGGATCGAATCCCACATCGGGCTCCCGGTGCATGGAGCCTGCTTCTCCCTCTGCCTGTGTCTCTGCCTCTCTCTCTTTCTCTCTGTGATTATCATAAATAAATAAATTAAAAAAAATCTTTAAAAAAAATTCCAAAGCCCCTCCCACTTTATCACCCCTTTTCATTCTATGTATTGTCAGTGCTGCAGTTCCTAGAATTGGAGACACTGTTTGCCTTCAAGTTACTTTGAAAAAATTCCCTAGACCTAACATTACCAAGTGATTTATTCTTTCTTTCTTTCTTTCTTTCTTTCTTTCTTTCTTTCTTTCTTTCTTTCTTCTTTCTTTATTTTTCTTTTCTTTTCTTTTCTTTTCTTTTCTTTTCTTTTCTTTTCTTTTCTTTTCTTTTCTTTTCTTTCTTTTCTTTCTCTTTTACTAGAGGGGAAAAAAAGAGTAATATATCCTCACTGAGATGTCTAGCATTCTTTTGAGTCATGCTTAAAGTCTAAATGGTCTAAAATTGGTTTAGGATTCCTTTCAGCCACCAATGCTAACTTATCTTAGGCTAACAAGACTAGAGTTCAGTTGATTTAATTTAGAACAAATTTTTATCTGTAGATGGGATGGAAAATCTAGGTGAGGATTAAGGTCATGGCCAAGGTACAAAAGGAGGAGGAAGTCTGAGTTAATTATAACCTAGGTTCTGCAGTCTTAATTCCAGGAAGCTGTCCTTTAGCTAGGTGGACAACTTGTTGATTGAAGAATATTCTCAGAGGAGCTAGATGCTACCAGTTTCTGAATTCTGAGATGAATTTCCACAAGTGAAGGTGTGAGTAGTGACAGACTTGATTTTCTTGTCAGTTGAAGAAGTCCTTTGAGTCAATGAGCATTTGGTTATTGTCTCTCCAGCAATCATGACTGGCCTGGAAGATTTCCCAAAGGTTATCTTTCTCAAGGTCAGTTGGGTAAGGTTGCTTTGACATGTTTTTGAATCTCATTACAATGCATGCATTGTGTTTAGTTGTTTATTCCCAGACTCTTTTGGTAGATAACTAAAGTAAAAAAACCCAAATCCCCAAAACCCATGAGAATATAACCATCATTGCACAAGGTAAAGATCTTATAATCTCTAATGCAAAATGTAAGCCTGAATTAAAAATACATTTAGGGGCCTCAGGTTGGAGGGACAAGCAAGCTCCTAACTGAGCAAGAAGCCTGATGTGGAGCTTGATCCCAGGACCCTGGGATCATGATCTGAGCCAAAGGCAGATGCTTAACTTACTGAGCCACCCAGGTGCCCTAATTTTTAAAAAAGATTTATTTGAAAGAGAGAGTGCACTATACTTGCACACCTGCAAGTTGGGGAGGGGGGAATTTCAAGCTGAGTCCTCACTAAGCACGGAGCCCTACGCGAGTCTCAATTTCAAGAGTCGGAAGCTCAACTGACGGAGCCACCCAGGCACCCCTAAAAGCTACATTTATTAATGTCTTTCATATGTGAAGTCATGTGAGCTTCTGATTTCAAGTTTAAAAACTAAGAACTTATTTTGAACCATTATGGATAGAGACTGCGTAATTAATTATGATCACTGGTTAATTTAACTTTTAAGATGCTTAGGATTAGGTTTTAGCCTCTCTTTAGTCTTATTCTCTTTATTTTGAGCCCTATTCACACTTAGCCAACTCCATTGCTGACAACCCAGGAAATATCGTCATGTCTGGGGCTCTGATGCAAATTATACACTAGGAATTATCATCTACTCCTGCTAGAGTTTAACTGGAGTGTCTCACATGTGGGTTACAATTCAGATGTCAGTAAGTTTCTGAATAAAAACATAAAAAGCAAACCATCCCCTTCCCCACCACTGCCCCTCACGGTGCAATAAGCAACTTAAATATTCCAGCGTAGGGAGGATGTGGTTAGGGTTAGGAAACCAGGAATCAAGTCCTGCATTCCAGTCCTCTCTGCTCCTGACTCACTCACCTCAGGCAAATGGTTCCACTTCATCTCATCTTGCCCTGCAAAGTGAGGAGAGTAACATTTTGTTTCAAATCTAAGACGGGTGGCTTCTGTTAACCTGCAAGAGGTCTTTGCTTTAGTAGAGATGGACAAATAAGGAAAACATGCAGCTCTAGATACCATCTTAAGAGAGATAAGAGATGGGTTTTGTCGCTGATTTGTGTTCTGTGCACTGATAACTCTGTGAGCTTATTATTGAGTCTTTACAGGCAGCTTTCTTCTGGGATGAAGAGTCAGATGGTGATGGTAGAGCAAACAAAGTCAAGGGTTCCAAATCAAGGGCCATTTGGCTTCAGTATTTAGTCTCAGTGCAGTGGGGGGGTAAAATTTGGAGCCTTGGGGTGAAGTGGGAAATAGTTTCCCCCCATGTCGTAGTAACACGGATATCACATAATAAAGCATACTTCTTTCCGGGGCACCTGGGTGGCTCAACGTTGAGTGTCTGCCTTTGGCTCAGGGAGTGATCCTGGGATCTGGAATTGAGTCCCGCATCGGGCTCCCTGCAAGGATCCTGCTTCTCCTTCTGCCCGTGTCTCTGGCTGTCTCTCTCTGTGTGTCTCTCATGAATAAATAAATAAATCTTAAAAAAAAAAAAAAAGCATACTTCTACTAGCATATTCAAGGCAGACAAAACCCTAACAAGATCCAAGGTAAAGCAGTCATGATCAAAACACCACTTCTGACTTAATATTTATTTGGCTGATATCAATTGTTTGTTTGCTTAACCAATCCTGGGCTTACATGGCTTTCATTCCATTCCTCCACCCACCTGAAGGTCACTAAAATTGGTAACTAATTGCCTATCATCACCTTAGAATTCACTGTTATCTCAGAACTATATTTATTCACTTGTTCCATTAAGTTCCCTACCCCCTTGAGACCCAGAATGAGATGACATCAAGGTAAAAATGCAGGCTGTCCTTAGGGACAACAATAGCTATTTTAACAAGTAGGCTATAATTCAAAACGGCACAACAGTGTTTTAATTGCTTTTGGATTTGACAACACTGGAATGCATTGAAGCTTGGAGCCCCTGAAGATAACCTGTCTTACTTTGTGTAAGTATTCAACATATAATTCTTATAAAAACTCCATCCATAGCATAGGTTGCATGTATAAGCCCAATGAGGAAAAGTGTGGGGTTATAAATCTGCATATGGGGGTGCCTGGGTGGCTCAGTGGTTGAGCGTCTGCCTTCGGCTCACGGCGCGATTCCAGGATCCAGGGATCAAGACCCCATCGGGCTCCCTGAGGAGAGTCTGCTTCTGCCCATATCTCTACCTCTCTCTCTGTGTCTCTCATGAACAAATAAATAAAATGTTAAAAAATAAATAAGCCTGCATATGATGTACTTCTATCAGTTCTACTAAGGATATAAATCCCGAAATGCAGGCTTGGCAAAGCCAAGAGGGAGTTAAGACGGTCAGTTCCTAAGAGATTTCTGGGATTTTCAGATTTCAAGCTAGGTCTCCTCTAAAAGATCTGCTGCTGCCCACCAGCTCGTTGCTCCCTCCTAGGCCTTATGCAAAGGCAGCCCTGCACTCTCACCTTGCCCAGGAAAGGGCTTTTAATCAGGGCTCTCAATCTCTGTTTCAGAGTTAGAGGCTGAGATGCAGGAGTGACTCAGCTGGCATGAGCTCTGGAGCAGTCTCAGCCTGCAGGCCTTCAGGAAATGAGTCCCCCAGGCCTGCATCTCCCTCTGTGGCAAACTGCCACCAGACTCTGCTGTTTATCAGCCCAGTACCAAACACAGTAAGGACAGTTTGCTGTTTCATTGTTTGAAAACCTACTATATACCAGCCAGATAGATAATGTGATAGGCTAGGATTACAAAGGTGAGTACCTTCCTGAAAAAGCTTACAGTTCAGGAAGGGAAATAAACAAATGTAAATGTATCATTAGGGTACAATGAGAGGTGTTAGAAGAGGCCCAACAGGAGGGCAAAAGGAAACAGTCTGAGAAAATCAGAAGAGACTTTTCAAAGTGAAACAGGGATGTGCCAGGTAGACAGAGCCAGGATGAAGGCAGAGGAAACAGCTGTTTATGAAGGTATGGAACCATTAAAGGGCGGTTAATTCATCACCTCTGTATTGAGTGACTTCTATGTGCTTGGAACTTGGACTATGTAAGTGAACAAAACAGATTTTTAAACATTTCTGCCTTTGGGGGCCTTGCATTTATTTTAGTAAGGTAAAATAATTAAGCAATAAACATAAGAAATTAGTAAATCATACAGAATGTTAGAAGTTGGAGTGTCTGGGTGGCTCAGTCGGTTAAGCATCTGCCTTCGGCTCAGGTCATGATCCCGGAACCCCAGGAATCCCTGGATGGAGCCCCATATCAGGCTTCCCGCTCAGTGGGGTATCTGCTTCTCCCTCTGTTCATGCTCTCTCTCTTAAACTCTCTTTCTCACATAAGTAAATAAAATCTCAAAAAAATATATATATTAGAAGTTGATTTTGGGGAATTTGGAGATGGGGAAGCAGGAAAAAAAGTCTATGGAGAGAAGTTTCTTGGAATTATAATTAGTGTGGTTGGGGAAACCCACAGTGAAAACACCTAATGAGGGGAGGGACCAGCTCTGGCACTATGTTGGGGAAGAGCATTACAAACCTAGGGACCAGCAGGTGCTGAGGCCAGCAGGTTTGAAGTAGAGCAAGGAGACCGATCCATGAAGCAGGAGAAAGTGGAAGAGTGCGGAACAGTGAGGCCAGACACAAAATAGAAAGCCAGATCTCATTGGACCTTGCAGTCCACTGCAAGGATTTTACCTCTGAATTTGAGTAAGGTGAGAGCCACTGAAGAGTTGTGAGCAGAGGACTGACCTGGTCCAACTGATGTTTTCATGGGATTGCTCTGGATGGTGTGAAGAATAGACTGCAGACAGGCAAGCTTGGAGGGATGGAGTTGGCCAACAGTCGAGAGGGAGAAAACTGTGGAATGGGTTTCTGGTGGGGGTGGGGAAGAAAATCAAGAATTCAATTTTGGACATGTTAAATCTGAGATGTCTGTTAGAGTGAAGGTTGTGGGGAGGTATCAAATGGGCAGTTGCATATATGTTTGGAGTTCAAGGGAGAGGTAGGAACTAGAGATAAATTTCAGAGTCATCAGTGCATAGATGTTACTTAAAACCACAAGACTGGATGAGATCACCAATGGAATGAATACAGATAGAGGAAGGACTGAGCCTTATCTCTGATATTCTAAAGATAGGAAGACAGAGAAAGAAGGAACCAGAACAGGAATCCAAGAAGCAGGAAAAGAAAAAAAAAAAAAGAAAGAAAAAAAAGTAAGGAAGAAGGAAGGCCACAGGAAAGCTCTGGAAGTCAAGTGTATCATAAAATGCATCAAGCAGGAAGAGATATTCAGGGGAGTCAAATACTGCTGAAAAGTTCAAATAATATGAGGATTGAGAATGGACTCTTGCATTTAAAAAATGTTTTATTTATTTATTTGTGACAGAGAGAGAGAGAGAGAGAGACAACGGGAGCAGAGGGGAGGGATAGAAGGAGAGGAGGAGTCTTTTAAAACATTAAAAAATTTATTATTATTTTTAAAGATTTTATTTACTTATTTGGGAGAGAGAGAAGAAAGAGGCAGAGAGGGAGGGAGAGAACCCTAAGCAGACTGCACTGAGTGGGGAGCCCAGCTTGGGGCTTGATCCCACAACACTGAGATCATAACCTGAGCTGAAACCAAGAGTTGGATGCTTAAATGACCATCACCCAGGTGCCCTCAATATTGTTTTTTTTTTTTTAAGATTTTATTTATTTATTCATGAGAGACACAGAGAGAGAGAGGAAGAGACATAGGCAGAGGGAGAAGGCTCCATGCAGGGAGCCCGATGTAGGATTTGATCCCAGGACTGCAGGATCACTCCGTGGGCTGAAGGCAGGCATTAAACTGCTGAGCCACCCAGGGATCCCTCAATATTGGTTTCTTTTGAGGTGTTTTGCTGCAAAAGGGAGCTGGTTTAGTAGCAGATGGACTAGGTAGTACCATGTGTATACACTCATAGGTACAATACAGTAGGGAAGAAAATTAATGACATAGGAAAGGAAAGAAATTATGGCACAAAGACATTGAATGGAGGGAATGGTTTAAAAAAGGAGAATAAATGGAGTGACGGGCTGGCTCAGTCACAGAGCATGATTTGTCGTCTTGGGAGTTGTGAGTTTGAGCCCCATGTGAGGTATAGCAATTACTTAAAAGTAAAATCTTAAAACAACAACAACAAACAACAACATAAAAAGGAGCATGAACAACTCAGTAGGCAAGATGGAAGTATATACATGGGTGCAGATAGTAGTGAGTAGATGATGCTGTGGGAGTCAATGGAAATTCTCCAATTGCTTCAACTTTCTTAATAAAGTAGGAGGAAAGGTCATCTGTTGACAGAAATAATCATGGGTCAAAGAAATAAAGTATGCTTGTCAGGTAGTATTAAATGCTTTCTTAAGGATTCTTTTAAAGATTTTATTTGAGAGAGAGAGAGAGCACGAGGACAGAAGCTTAACCAACTGAGCCACCCAGGCACTCCCTTTCTTAAGGTTTTTCTTTTTTTTAAGATTTTATTTATTTATTCAAGATTTTATTTGTTTATTCACGGGAGACACAGAAAGAGGTAGAGACAGAGGCAGAGGGAGAAGCAGACTCCATGCAGGGAGCCGGAAGTGAGACTCGATCCCGGGACTGCGAGATTACACCCTGAGCTGAAGGCAGATGCTCAACCGTTGAGCCACCCAGGCATCCCTACTTTATTTATTTGACAGAGAGGGAGAGAGCACAAGCAAGGGGAGAGGGAGAGGTAGGAAAAAGGAGGAGAAGCAGACTCCCTGCTGAGCAGGGAACCCGATGCAATGAGATGCAATGTGATGCGGGCCTTGATCCCCGGACTCTGGGATCATGACCTGAGCCAAAGGCAGATGCTTAACCAACTGAACCATCCAGGTGTCCCTGTTAAGATTCCAATCAGGAATTTATATTATTGCAGTGAGACTAGCCAACTTACTTTTCTCCAGCTACATTCCACTACACGGGTGCAAGTGCAGAGCACACAGACTAACCAAGGATGTGGCTTGTTGGCAAATAAGTAAGGATGTTGAGGGTATATTCACAAGAGTGGTGGTGACTGACAATGGAAGGAAAAGAGGACGTCAGAATGGTGAACAAGATGGTAGCATCCATTTATTGATGGTCACAGTGACTCCAAATTAATGTATTAGGGCAGCCCCGATGGCTCGGCGGTTTAGCGCTGCCTTCGGCTCAGGGTGTGATCCTGGGGACCCGGGATCGAGTCCCACGTCGGGCTCCCTGCGTGGAGCCTGCTTCTCCCTCTGCCTGTGTCTCTGCCCCCCCCCTCTGTCTCTCATGAATAAATAAAATATTAACAAAAATTAATGTATTAGAGGAAATGGCCTAGCAAGATAATAGGTGGTCAGAGAGAGGGATGCATGAAATTCAAACTATAGTGACTGAAAAGACTGGTAATGACTTGGGAATGAATGCCCAAGGAAGGTCAAAGACCTAATCAATGGACTTTCACAGGAACCAAGAGGCTTGTTAGCTGGATTATTTGTCAATTGTTTTCAAACTTTAGCATGTGTCAGAATAACCAGTGAAACCACAGATTGCTAGATCCTACTCTCAGAATATCTAGGTCCGATTCTGAGGATTTTCATTTCTAAGTTTCCTGGTGATGTTGCTGCTGCTGTGGTCCAGGGACCATACTTTGAAAACTACTGATCCATGTGTATGTTGAAATTGCCAATTATTAACATGTAAGTAGTTTTGCAGAGTGACAGCGAGCCAAGAGAAAAAGATTGTCAAGAAATAAAGAACGGCTCGGGTGTCTGGGTGGCTCAGTTGGTAAAGAGTCCAACTCTTGGTTTTGGCTCAGGGGTCATGAGACTGAGCCCTATGTCCTGTTGATCTCTGCACTCAGCGGGGAGTCTGCTTGCAAATTGTCTCCCCCCCCCCCCCCCCCCCCCCCCCCGCTCCCCACCTCCCTGGCTTACATGTGCACATTCTCTCAAATAAAATCTTGAAAAAAAGGGCAGCCCTGGTGGCTCAGCGGGTTTAGCGCTGCCTCCAGCCCAGGGCGTGATCCCGGGGACCCCGGGGTCGAGTCCCACGTCGGGCTCCCTGCATGGAGCCTGCTTCTCCCTCTGCCTGTGTCTCTGCCTCTCTCTGTGTCTCTGAATAAATAGTTAAAAAAAATTGAAAAAAAGTGAACATTAAAAAAATGAAATAAAGAACAGTTTGGTGACTAATGAATTGCAACCATCAGGAATAGTGGATGATGTGATGAGATCTGAAGTTGGCTTTTATGGGGACTGGTTGTAAATTGTGTGGCTGAAGCAAAGGCTGGTAGCAGAATGAGATTAAGGCAAGGCTACAGGCAGATCATCAAGGGTCTTCCATGTCAATACTTTAATAGTAGTGGGGTAAGCAGTTCAGTGTGGGTTCCCTGCTAAGGGGATCTCTGGTGGAGCTGCTTTGTGGTTATCTTGAGTGATAACCATACCAATTCATTTCTGGAAGAAATAAAAAGTACACTAACTAGGAAATATTAAGTCTCACAAAGTTAGATGTCACTTTACATGAGTTTAGGTAGGATGATGTCTGATGGGACAATAAAGCTTAAGTAGCTTGATAGTAGGGCAAAATAGAACATTACTATAGAATGGAACTGTGAAAGTACAATACAGGGAGGTTTATGAGGCGGTCAGGCATAAACTATGAAGTCAGGGCATAGACTATGACATGGGGTCATTATCTGGGCCCAGTTTGGGATGCCACTTATTACTCATGGGATCATTTAATGTTTCTGCTTAGTACCTATTAAATGGGTCTATCATCATTTATGCCACATACCGGAGGGAAAAGTCGAGGGTGAAATGACATAGTGCAAGTGCTTTGAGGATGTGAAGAAAGTAAAGTGCATTGAGCTATCCTCAGAAATCAGGGCAGAAGAAACAAGGAGAGCATGAGGTGTATAGAACAAAGGATTAAGTGTAGATAGTTTCACATCCATGTGATCTTGAAATGAAAGCCTTCTAAAATGGCTGATATTTACTGACATTCATGTGGAAAATTTATTTTTACATAGAGGTTTCCTTAGAAATTCTACCTTTGGGGACGCCTGGATGGCTCAGTGGTTGAGCATCCATCTGCCTTTGGCTCAGGGTGTGATCCCGGAGTTCCAGGATGGAGTCCTGCATTGGGCTCCTCACAGGGAGCTTGCCTCTCTCTCTGCCTATGTCTCTGCCTCTCTCCGTGTCTCCCATGAATAAATAAAATCTTAAAAAAAAAAACAACCAAACAAAAAACCACGAACAAAGGAAAAAGAAATCCTACCTTTGGACCACAGGTATGGACAAACATGTATGACTGGGTTGAACTTCAGCAGCCCGTCACCTCTTTGCTGGTGCCCCGTACTAAGAATGTCTGTGCTCCTACACACTGAGAAAAATGCAGAGCCACCTATGCTCTTATATGTACCCCACGTGGGTTTCTGTCCTGGCTTCTGTTACCTGGAATTGAAATCGCCTGCTGCTGTCAGACCATACAAATCAAGGGGAGAAATTATGCCTTGTCAAATCCTTCCATGGTTGCCTATTCACTGGTCTTGACAGTACAATCCTTCGTACGGTGTTAAAGGCACTTCCAAGATCTGGTCGCTGTTCCCTGGTCTTATAACACTACCACCACCTGGGGATTCAGTCACATGTTAAGTTCTTTCACAACCTCTAGCGTGCTTTACTTTTTCTGACTTAATAGCCTTTACACAGGCTGTTGTACCTGTCCGGGGTACCATGTCCCATTCTTGGCTCTTAGTCTTCCGGTTTATTTATTAATATTTTACTTATTTATTCATGAGAGACATAGAGAGAGGCAGAGACACAGGCAGCGGGAGCAGCAGGCTCCATGCAGGGAACCCAACGTGGAACTTGATCCCGGGTCTCCAGGATCAAACCCTGGGCTGAAGGCAGTGCTAAACCACTGAGCCACCCAGGGATCCCCCCGGTTTACTTTTGATATTGATTCCTGTGACAGCTTCCCTTGAGTCCCCTTCTCAAGTCTGGGTTAGACTCTTTCAAGCGGACTTTCCACTTCTCTCATTAGTTCTTCTCACATTGTTTTAACTGCATGCTTAAATTACCTCTCACCAGACCAAACACTGAAAAAGGGGACATTCATGTCTCCACCACAGTGCCTGGATTCAGAAGGCTCACAATGAAGATCTGAGGTATGCTGAAGTTGTCAATGGCAGACACTTGGCACACAGATTCAGTGAAAGCCAGCCTCAACAGTTCTTTACTAGGAGACAAGACTTTTGGGGTTCAGGAGGGCAAAAGGTAACTGGCTAGCAAAGTTGCCACTTCAAGGAGCCCACCGCTATTTTAACTGCTATTTTCTATATTTAAGAAAATACTGTACATGCACTATTAGCCACCACACATAGGAGGTGTGTTGTATGGCAGAGAAGGAAGTTGCAGTGAAGTGAGTAGCAAATGTTTATTTTGAGGACTTTCTGGGTGTGTGTGACCAGATGGTTACCAAAAAATTACATCATGAATCAACTATGCCTTGTTGGTTATTAGTGCTAGCTGATCTCATACCTTAGAATTTATTAATTTTAATATACATTGTGTTAAATGGAGAAACTCCTAAAGATCACCATGACTGTTGTAGTAACTTTCAGTCTTTCACCATGCGTATTTTAAGTTACTGAATGCCTTTTGAAGAGGTAGTTTCAGTTTTGACCACCTGTGATTACTGGAAGAAGTGGTAAGTTAGGCATTACTTAATTTCAGAAGAGCAGCAGCCTCTGTGGAGACTTTCCTGCTGATCACTTAGGAAAACCCTTGACTAAGCTAAAGCTTAGTTTTCTAAGTGCAGTGGATAAATTTGAGATAGACTGGATAAATGTTCAATAGTACTAAAGGATTAATACTGTACTGTGAACCATGATGCTTTTCTAATACGCAGTTAGCTTCTGGTTATCAGGTGGTAATGCATGTTTTACGATGGCTGCAGGAGTTATAATGGATTTAGAAACATACCAATAAGCCATTCAAAGATGGTGAAACCCCCCAAAAGCCAATGAATGATTAAGTCTCTCCTGTATCCTCAATAAAACAGCTTGACAGACCAGTAGCAAGCATTTCTATTTATTTCAGAGTATAATGTACGCTTCAGAACCATGGAGGATACTAAATTTATAACTATTTAATATCCATAGGGTATTTTATTTTTGCAAAGATGGGTTCTAAAAACCATAAAACTGAATAGATTAGTAATACAACATATATCAAAATTAGATTTAAAAAGGAGGTTGTGGCTCTCAGTAGCTCTGTCCTGGTGTTAAAGATGTCATACTTACTTAGAATACCACCAAGTACTTTAACATTTATAAATGCAGGTGTTATCTCTGATTCTAGCAAAAAGAAACCACTGAAATTTTATTCTTTATATCACAGACATGATTTAACCATATCACTTTGGCACGTGGTATTGCTATTTTTCCTACTGTAGCAAATCCTAGTTCTCCCAAGACCTTTCCTCTATTCTGGAAATAAAATACTCTTACATCCTTCATCCTTTCTGATTTTAGGCTATGCAAAAGACATGCCCGAGAGCTGTATTAATGTATTAAAGCAAAAAGACAATCCATCTTATTATTAAGAGAAACTGTGATCCTTCCATGTAGTATCTGATAGAGAAAACACTGATTTTGATACATTATCTTATTTTATTCAAATACCAGTCTGATCACATATGGTCCAAGAACACTCAAATTATAAGCCACATAGAAAGAGATGTTAAAGATTGGTCTTCAAACATTATAGCCAATGATGCCACGCTTGCCTATGATCTCGCCGACATAAAACCACATCCACACCTCGGTGGCCACCAAACCATTCAGCAGAGCTTCCTGAAAAAAGCAGCACAAATTTTAATGTGTATTTCTTCCTTACATATTTAAAAGTATTCTTTTCCAGGATTAAGTAACAGAAAATGTAAGGATGCTATTCATTTAGAGAGCAGTTTTAGCCAAAGTCAAGATTTACTGATGTTAACTTTGTTCAACTGCTGAGAACACTTGAACTTTCAATTATGTAAGGTAAGTAGTCCAGAGCTTATAAATTCTTTCAAAGCATTCTTTAAAGACCTGAACTGACTTAACCCTTTCATTATTAGTTTATGAGACACTTTATGAGCCCTAAAACAACCCACATCCTGGAAAGAGCTGACACATTTAGACAGGGCATTCATATGAAAGGATGGGTATAGGAAGGTAAGTCTCTGAATAGACATTTCTGTCTGGTCAAAGGGAATTTGTTGAGAGATGAAGAGCTTTGTCTTCTCCTTTATTCATTTATTATTTGGTTTAGCTCTTTCTAACAATTCAGTAATTACTCAGTTTCACAGATCAATGTTTTATTGTCCTGAGAGAAAAAGCACATGACTGGTTCTAAAAAGCAATGTTGCATGCAAGCACAGCTATAGATCTTGAAACTCTAGTTGAAAAAAATTATTTTTCCACAACAACACTGAGCCTTTTCCTTTTAGCACCTGGATGTGAATTTTAATTTTCCCCTTCAAACTAGCCAGGAATACCAGAGGTCTCCTTAAAAAACTGTTTTCTAGGATGTAGATTCTAGAGTCAGCAATAATTTATAGTTATTTAGGTTTTTTTGTATTCTGTGTTTGGCTCAGGCAAGCAAACATAAAATCCAAGTTCCAATTCTTATAGTCTTTAGATTTTATCTTAATACAATTCAATAGCCCTTCATATTACATGATATGCTTGCTAGGTTTTGATATTTTTATCTTTCATGTGAGTGTTAGCCGCCTGATAGTCCAAGAAATCTTTTGGCTAGACTGGGAATATTTCCAGGCCTACAGATGAAAAAAAGTATAGAATCAGCAAAGTAAGCCATCCTATTTTAGTATACTAACCAAAATAGGAGAGGGAAAAAAAGTTGCCCAGTAAAAATGCTTGTGTCTTTGTCATAAGACTAATAGGAAACAAAGACATAAAATAGCTGAATTATTTCAACCCAGATGACAAAATTAGAAAGGTAAATATCTTTCTCAGCAGTCAAGAAAGAGATTATCTTTCATAATGTAGGTTTCAGCCTCACTGGAAAATACGTATATTAATCAAAACAATCAGAAAACTCCCAAGGGAAGACATTTTGTTATGCACATACGTTTTCATTTAGCCATAGTTACCTTAACTGTGAGCTGTTTGAAGCTACCAGTTTGAGCACTCTTGACTATTTTTTTCAAGCTCTGAATAGCTGTAGGGATCTCAGCAGGGGTTGGAGGAACCAGCTCAACCCTGGCATAGTGCCAAAATGTGGCCAATCGAGGCTTCGAGTAAGTCACAGCAGCTGGAAAACAAAACAAAACAAAACAAAAAAACGAGGATGAACTCACTAGAGACCGAAAGAAGCAGATGTGTGGGCTGGACACAAATATTTATTCATGCATCACATTCATTCACTGCTTGTACCAAATGTGCACCCGGTGTGAAAAGTCAAAGCTGCTCCCTGGTAACAAGAGGCTTTTAAAGATGCAGAACACCTGTGTCACAGGGAAGTTCAATCAGGCAGGAGGCTATAAGCACATCCAATTATGCCAGGACTTCACTAGTGGCCAGCTAGTACTGTTACTTATGAATGGCAAATCTAGCTAACTGTAAAGTCACTAGAAGCTGGATTCAGAGACAAGAAAACAACAGCAATGTAACCATTTTCTTGGTAGACGAGTAGAAAATTGGGAGAGACGAAGTGCAGAAAGGGAGGGAAGGAGTTACAGAGAACGCATCCTTAAGAATAAGATTAAAACTTGTCACAATGTTGGCTACAAATCCAGAAGGAATTATACCAATTAGGGCCCATTTTTGGTATCCTCATCAATATGTGAATTAAATCTTTCTTTAACAAAAGCCCAGCTGCTCCTCCTTCAAAACAACACAAATAATAAAAATAAGACCTACATGTATTGTTCAGAGCAGCCCAAACTCAAATTTATTACTATGCTGAAATTCCTCAAGGTAGTTACTATTTCAGAGAACAAAAAATTCTTAATAACCAGAATAGATGTAAGATTATGGTAGTGACTTCAGAAAGAAAAAGGCATTTTATAAGAAAGTTACAAGACAAACGTGATAAAAACAGCACACTTGCATGAACATCCATAAATTACTATTCAAAGATGGATTGATTATCCAAGGCTCTTGGTACTTTTCCTATTATTAGCTTCCTGAATTTGGGTATTTCACTACCAAGAATTACTATCTGCATCATCCTTCGTGCTTAGGGCCATGAGCAGACACAAGGCTCTCAGTTCTACATAGAACTGACAGTGCCCGTAAAATGGGACTATCACAGAGTACAAAGTCTTGTGTAACTGTCTTTTTTTTTAAATTTTTTTTTTATTTATGATAGTCAGAGACAGAGAGAGAGAGAGAGAGGCAGAGAGAGAGAGAGAGAGGCAGAGACATAGGCAGAGGGAGAAGCAGGCTCCATGCACCGGGAGCCCGACGTGGGATTCGATCCCGGGTCTCCAGGATCGCGCCCTGGGCCAAAGGCAGGCGCCAAACCGCTGCGCCACCCAGGGATCCCTGTAACTGTCTTTAAAATTATCTTCAAAACACATATATTTCATCCTTTAAAAAAAATAGGTAAATAAATGGTGGATGATGGGAGCCAGATTTGTCACTGTAGGAGAGGAAAATGACAAACAGGCAAGAAAAGAAGCAAGAATAACCCCATGGTACTAGATTAGAGTTGGAGACATTCACATGAACTCATATGTAGTTTAATATATTTACAGATGGACAGATACAGAGACCACCATATATATGCATGTTTACACATGGGTTACTACATACACACCCTTAAAGAGGGCATAGAAGCAATGATATTCTAGCAATCTAGTAGCAAGAAATTTATTTGGTGCCTAGATATTAGTTTCAAAATACCATTGTCCAACAAAAGATACTAGGGCTCCTTGGAGAAATGGTGGATTCTAAGGCTGGGGCAAAGAAAATTTAACTTGAGTCTGAAGGATTTTGTAGTACAAGAACGGGGGTAGGTCAAGAGGACAGAGACGCCAACCTGAAAGAGTTTTCAATGGCCAAGGCTTTTTTTAAAAAAAGATTTTATTTATTTATTCATGAGAGACACAGAGAGAGAGAAAGGCAGAGACACAGGCAGAGGGAGAAAGAAGCAGGCTCCATGCAGGGAGCCCTATGTGGGACTCGATCCCGGGTCTCCAGGATCACACCCTGGGCCGAAGGCAGGCGGTAAACCACTGAGCCACCCAGGGATCCCCGGCTGCAACAATTTGAACAAAACATACTATTGGAGGTAGAAAGTATGAAACAAATGTACATGAATCCATACAATACACCACTAAATAAACAACTGGGAAGAACAAATCTTTCTGATAGAATTCCATTTAATTATATGTAAATACTCCTTCCTTTTTTTTTTTTTAAATTTTTATTTATTTATGATAGTCATAGAGAGAGAGAGAGAGAGAGAGAGAGAGAGGCAGAGACACAGGCAGAGGGAGAAGCAGGCTCCATGCACCGGGAGCCCGACGTGGGACTCGATCCCGGGTCTCCAGGATCGCGCCCCGGGCCAAAGGCAGGCGCCAAACCGCTGCAGCCACCCAGGGATCCCAGGAGTTTATTTTTTAATAAAATTTTTTTGTATTATTTTTCTTTTTGAATTTTATTAAAATCAGTTTCAGGGCAGCCCTGGAGGCCCAGCGGTTTAGCGCTGGGCCACCGCTGCCTTTGGCCTAGGGTGTGATCCTTGGGTCCCGCGACTGAGTCCCAACGTCCAACGTCAGGCTTCCTGCATGGGGCCTGCTTCTCTCTCTGCCTGTGTCTCTGCCTCTCCCTCCCCGGTCTCTATGTCTGTCATGAATAAATAAATAAAATCTTAAAAAAAAAAATCAGTTTCAAACCCATCACCTGAAAGATATGAAAACCATGTTGAGGGGGGGGGGGGATCCACCTGAAACAATTTTTTTTTTCTTCGAATCATCCACAAAGTCCAAAGGATGAAGCCCACAATTTCTTCTTCTTTTTTTTTAATTTTTTTTAAATTTATTTATTTATGATAGTCACAGAGAGAGAGAGAGAGAGAGAGAGAGAGAGAGAGAGAGGCAGAGACACAGGCAGAGGGAGAAGCAGGCTCCATGCACCGGGAGCCCGATATGGGATTCGATCCCGGGTCTCCAGGATCGCGCCCTGGGCCAAAGGCAGGCGCCAAACCGCTGCGCCACTCAGGGATCCCTCTTCTTTTTTATTTATATACAATTATAGAGCTTTATCACAATAGGTACCGTGATACTCCGCAAACTTAAGCGCTTCAGGAAAATGTGTTAAGTTAGTAGATTGTGGGGTTGTGTAGGAGACACTCCAGCATTACTGTATTTGGCATTACCAGGCCTTCAATAACTCACTGTTTGGCTGCTGACAGGAGGAAAGGAAGAGGAGATTAAGATACTAATCACAGTAAAATGGGTTAAAGAATACAGGTGTTCGGAAAGTTGTGGACACGTTTCATGATCAAATCTGAGCGAAAGCTGGAGATCTGTGCTTCAACCGCTTCCTAGAATACAACACGCCCGGTGAAGCCGCGCCCCGGTTTTCCCTTCTCGCCTTGCCGATAAAACGAACACCCTGCTACCCCGCAGACGAACGCGCTACTTTGGACGGAAGAGGCTGCTACTCCGGGCTGGGACTCTTCAGGGTCGGTCTTAAGTACAGCGGTCCGCCAGCTGGGCTTTCATCCACGAAGAAGCCCACGATTATTAAGCCAGAATAATAAAGACGGCTGTGGACACGCCTCCCTTCCTAGGTCTGCTGGAGTCCGGGACACCCCAGGTCTACAAAGCGCAATTCCGCCTAGAATTTCCATTAAAGCAGCAACTTCACAACCCGGCCAGGACGCGGGCAGAGCCCACGTTCCAGGGCAGCACACCCATCCCCAGACAGTCACGGAGCCTTCCAGGTAGCCCGTCTGGGAGGCAGACGATCTACGGCGCTCGGCTGGCCTGTGCCCTCCTGCCGTCGCGCCGTCGCTCCGCCGCAGGCCGGACCCCCGCCCCCCGAGGCCGAAGGGGGCAAATGGCGGCAGAGAGGGCGAGCCCAGCCTGCCCGCACGCCCCTTCCTCCCTTCGTAGGTGGCACCGAGGACCCAAGCGGCGGGACAGGCGGCGGAAGGCTAGAGGACAGTCGCAGGCCGGGCCCCGCCGCCCCCGCCCCGGCCGGCCGGCCCCCCTCCCCCGCCCCCCGGCTCCCCGGCTCCCGCGCCGCCCTCGAGGTACCACCGCCCGCGTCGTCTTCTCAGGCCTCCCGCCCCGGGCCGCGGCCGTGCTCACCGTTCAGCAGCGCCGGAGCCTTCTCGGCGAGGTTACGGACGAACTGGGCCATGGCTCCAAGAGGGACGTCCCGTCGCCCCGCACGGCCGCTGAATGTCACCGCCCGGAAGGACCCGCCGCAGGACCCCGTTCCGCTCCCAAGGGCGGGCTCCCTCTCTCCGCGCCGGTCCAAGGTGTTTAGGCGTTCTGCGATCTGTCCGGAATCTAGCCGGTCCGATTATTTTCTTCCGTCGCAGAGGACAATGTGGGCGTGAACAGGCGAGGCCGGAGAGCACGCGGAGGGCGGCGGGCTTCGGCGGGGACACAGGCATTTCTTGGGGCAGCCGCCGTCCGAGGCCCGGAAGGCCGGCGGGCGGAGGACGGGCGCATGCGCCGTGAGCTACCCGTGCTGGCCGCGGCGCCCACCTGCGCCCTTGTCCCAGGTGCGGCCGGCGAGGAAGTTAGGGAGGGGAAGGCGTCTCTAGGGCTTCCCTAGGCCAGGACGGTCGTCTTATAACGGCAGACAGGGGCCTCGGCCAAACACGGAAAGTAATGGCCAGAGCAGGCGCCACATCACCTGTCATCCGATCCAGTCCTTTGTTTTTCTTTAGCTGATTTTCCTTAATCCCCATCTCCGCCCCCCGCATCTTGAATCGGGGCTGGGAGTCCAGTTCCCCTAATTACCTAGTGAGTCGCAGGGAACTATGCAGATGGGAGCAACGAAACATTTACCGAGGGTCTCCAGTATTCCAGGCATTTTGGAATTTAAAGGAAGCCTGTAGAGTGGTGTCAGGCAGCGTCCCCCATTTAAGACTGGGATTGGTAAACGGCCACACAGCTAGTGAGTGGCAGAGTTGGGATCTGAAGAGGTTGCAGTGTAAACAGGAGAGGGGGCCTTAGTATGGGAGTAGGAGTGGTGGTGGTGATCTGGGAAGATTGCTAGAGATTAAGGTGATGTAGAACACAACAGCTCTGTACTACAGGGTCGAAACTTTATAGTTTAATAGGAGTGGAAGAAAAGATTTATGTAGGAAGTGGCATTCGATGCAAGAAACATAAGTAATGTATCCTGGAGAAGCATGAGCAGATCTGATTGATGGAATGGTCAGGTGGAAGGAAAAATTAGGGGTGATATCCAGGAGCCAAGAGCATCATTTCAATGAAGGAGTGATTCAGCTGCCTAGTATTCCAGAGAAGTCAAATTAAGGTTGGGAAAGATAATTCACCAATATGGAAAATATTAGCTAGAGCATTTTCAGAAAATTAGGATAGAAGCCAGAGTACGTATGTCTATAAGGAATGTGAGTCAGAAAACCAGGTAAGGGGGCACTGGGCGGCTCAGTCCTTAGGCCTCAGACTCTTGATTTCTGCTCAGGTCATGATATCAGGGTGTGAGATCTAGCCCCAAGTTGGGCTCCACTTGGGCATGGAGCCTACTTAAGATTCTTTCCTTCTCCCTCTGTCCTTCCTCTCCCCCCATATAAAACCAAGTAACGCTGTGGAACTTAAGGTGGAAACTGAAGATAGAGAAGGGGGATTACTAAGATTATCTGAAGAGACAAGAAAGAAAACGGTGGGGATTAGCCCTGGAACCGTGGGGCCTGGTTCATGGATGGGATGATGGGAGAGAAGTTTGAAAGTGAAAATTCTGAGGACTCTATCTTTCCAGTTAAGAGGAAGTCAAGATCTTCAGTGAAGGCAAACTGGGAGGGTTGGAAAGATTGGTGGAAAAATGTTAAAAGTTTGGTTTGGTGTTGAATTTCTGGACACAGAAGGGTTGTTGGGCACTGTTAGCAACCACAGATTTGTGGTCATAGTACTCTAAAGATTATGTCATTTTTCTCCCAACAGTAGTCTGTAGCTTGGATACTGGAACAGAGGGGAGTGACTGGGCCCATCTAGACTGAGGTCTTACAGCGCAGGGGTAAGACAGGGAACACGATAATGATTAAAATGAAAGACCTGGGGTTTAGGCCAGATAAAGAAAAGTGGAGCCAGAAGTGAACTGATTAGGAAAAAACATGTCCTAAGACTCATCTGGGTAACTCCAGGGTCCAGAAGCCTGGTAAGGGAGGTTAGCTCAGCTGGGTGACCCGTGTTTGATGTCACCTTAGAGAAGTAAAGGTCAGAGTTCCCTAAAATTTCAGAGGGATTTCTGAAACTGCCACTAGCTTTTCATACTGTAATGAAGGAAGTGATAACAAAGGTTGTAAGTCAGGTGTTCATTTATTAAATACAAGCTTTGAACAAACACCCCCAGGCAAGTTTGACAAGAAGTAACCTTCCTGGAATGTTTCAAAATACAGTTATGGTTGATCAAATTTTATTTCAACCAACCTTTTTGTTGTTTTATTTTTTATTTATTTATTTTTTGTGTTTAGGTTTTCCTGTGTAGCAGTTAGAGCATGTGCATTATTTCCTCACATGACATCAACAGTGCAGCATCAGCCTCTCTGGCTTGTAAAGGCACCCAGTAGACTTATGCTCTGGGCAATGGCTGCTTAGCAACCAGCATCAAATAAAGTAATGAAGCTTTTGTAGATTGTGATACCAAACAGCAACTGGCACTTTCACCTGCACCATTAAAAAACCTTTAAAGTTTGTTTTTACATATCCATTACAAACTATATTAAAAAAAACAAACACAAACCAAGATTGCTTGATAAAGCCTACTTAAATAATTTTCCAAGTTTAGTTATTACCCTCTTGGTAAGCAGTACCAGAGCTGATAAAGAGTCTTCATTTTCCTATCATACTCCAGTAAAGCCAACACATAAAACTAGGTAGATCAGAAAGTCTCTAATAGATTTAGAGCTGTTTCTGAGTTCCAGACAACAAAACATCTCTTTAAGCTTCCAAGCGCATATATACACCATGGTGTTCACCAAGATGATAATTTTTTAGTCTCATTTTTGGGATGTTCTTAAATTACTTCAAGGAAAGAAAAAAAGGCACAGAGGACACTTGGTTTTCTTACCAACAGTGACCTTAAGCTATACACTTGCCTTTCTGATGAGTTTAAAGATACTCAGCAGCATTAATGGTGCCGTAGTCATTCATAAAAAGTTTCAGGAAGAGACTTCAAGAAAAAGAAATAAAAGCTTGCTAGAAAAGGCTTACAACCTGAAGACCACAGAAGTAGAATACAGACACAGATACAAGAGGCAGCATAGAGGTTGTTAACTAGAAAGCTGCTGGAAACAGCTGCCTTCTGAGGTTTTGTGCCCATTTTCCCTCCAATTTTCTCCTATAAAACTCTGGTCTTTCCCCCGCTTAAAAAAAAAAAAAAAAAAAAGAAAACATCCTATTACACTGGGTTTGGAAGATAACTGCAAGTAGACAGAAGCTTATTTTATACACAGTTCATTCGCAGACAAGTAAAGGAGGATAATAAATAGGAAATGAAGCTCATTTGAAGAAAAGGAACAAATCCTGTTAACCCAAGCCTTAAAGGCCCAACTTGCACACTGAATTAATATCTTACATTCTAGCTTTTCCAAGAGTCCTGGACTCCTTTTTTTATTTCTAAGCACATCAATAGGCAACATCTACTTTACACCTCATGTGGGATGCCCTCGGACGTGAGGTTTTTCCAAGTAATGACATTGAAAGCACATTAAGGACTGCGTAGAGCAAATCGTGTTGGAATATCATAAAACTACCATCTGATTTGAAGAGTCCATGGTTAAAAAGGAAAGTGACCCCTGTTTCTGGCTATCACTTTTCTTGTCACTTATGGTATCTTCAGGCTTACAGGGACAGTGACATGGTCCACAGGGGAATGTGCCTCACTTGGCATGTTACCCTCCGCAACGGAGTATCAGGGAGCACAAGCTCAATTTGCAAAAGTGGGGCCCATCCACCTACTAACTACACGGAGCTGTGTGGATATTTAAAACGGCTGTAGACAAGGTTGTGCTCAAATTCCTACTTTGTTAATTGATGACCTAAGGCTGAGTTAGAAGCAGCTCTTGGAAGTTAGGTCACAAGCCCAAACAAACATTAACTATGTACATATTATGGTCTCAGAATTTTCTCTAGATTAAGTGTGTCCATAAACATGGCCACACACTGCATACATCTTACCACGGAAGAGACAATATAAAGTGGTACTCAGTTGACACTAGACCAATATAAAAATGCATGTGGTGTGTATATATATATATATTGAAGTATACTGCCGCTAAGTGTCTTAAAATGACATCTTTCATGGTTCCAATATTTGTTCCCTAACTTTTCCACTCAAGCCTTGTCCTTGTAGCAACAGATTTCCATAAGATAAAGAGGGTCTAACAGCCTCCTTTTTTCTTTCACCTCAGAATTTTCTAAATAAAGTGTCAAAAATTCACATTTGTTCTACCAATCCTGCAAAAAATATTATGGGGCTAACTTTTTTGTGGTGATGACAGCCCCAGGGGAGAGTGTTCATCTTCCATCGGATCTCTGAGTTACAAGGTAACACAAAATTAAGAACTACCAACAGAAACTGCCTAAGATTCCTTTTTAAAAATCGCATCTATTCTATTCGAAAGTCAACTCAAACATCAAGGTATCTCCTTTTGTGTGAAAGGTTATCCTGTTAACAGCAGAACTGTAACAAGAAAAGGGCTGACATCTGGGTCATGAAGACCAGTAAATACCTCAATGATACAGGACCTTCTGATGGTGTAAGTGGTCGCCAGAATATGTGACGTCATATACTTAAAAGCCAGGCTCACCAAAGGTCTCTGGGCAGTTCTTGGCAGAGCAACAGTAGGGTGGCAGGAGGTTTTAGTAGTTGCAGTTAATATAACTTAAGGTAGGAAAAGGAAGCAAAGCAGAAGAGAGAATGAAGGGTACAAATGAACGATCATTTCTAAACTTGGTGCTGCTATAATCAGCGTAATTTCCTGCAAGCCAGGAAAGCACTGTAAAGTTCTTAGGAATAAATCTAAATTGTCATAATTTCAGCAAGAGCAGTTCTCTAATTTAGTGAAAAAAAAAAAAAAAAGAAAAGAAAAGAAAGGAAAAGGAATAAAACCAAGGAGAGAGAAACCACAAACAATTGTTTATCTACACTCTGGGGTTGGTTGTTTTTGGTTTGTTTGGTTCACAGTATTTATTCAAGTTGCTCCTTTTGTTGTTTCCTCTCTGCGAGCCATCGTTGGATTTTTTCTTTTA